CCAGAGGAGTCGCCCCCTGGTGGACACTAGAGAGAATGCAAGTTTTAGTATTAGCATTTCCTTTAGCCCCGCCTCCCAGCACTCGGTCCAGCCTAATTCTCACTAACAGAGAAAGGAAAATAACTCTGGATTCAGCTATTTGTGTATATTACAACTTTGAGGACCTAATGATTTTAATGATTTAAATGAGCTGTTCAAGTGTTCGTAGTGGGAAGTTGATTCACCTTAAAAAAACTTTTTCTTAATGTAAATCTATGGGAAAATCTCTTATTGGGCCTCACATGGCATCACGTGACTTGAGGTTGTAATTTGCTTCAAAGCATGTCGCTAAAAGAGAGGCGACATAAAGAAACATATTTTTTTTTTTACATTTAGCCCTCATCTTTTAGAATATTACAAAAGAGCAGAAAAAAAGAATACGTACCTCTTTATGTCGCCTCTTTGCTGACATTCCCATCAGCCTCAGCTCTACTTTGTGGTCTAAGCTAACTGGCAGATGTTAGCATGCTAAGCCGCTACACTATCATCATATTAGCATTGTCATCGTGTGCATGTTAGCATTTAGCTCAAAGCGCTATGTGTTGGAGTAGCATGGCTTCAGACTCTTAGTTCTGTTTCACCACACGTGAAATGAAACCATCTGACTGCTAACGGTGAAATCGACGTGAGCTAATGCTGAATCAGTGAAGTCAGTCGTCCACACACAGAGACAGACACCGTGGATTCTAATTATAAGATCTTCTGATGTGGATCCAGCCCTGCAGAACATTGCTTATGACATTTATGAGTCAAATATCCGCTGCCATTCTGACACATGTAAACAAAGTGAGTCACAACAGAGGAAATGAGCAACAACGTTTTAACTCAACACCAGAATTCAGTCGTTTGGAGTCCCTGTGAAATCTCATGAATTCTATGGAATACCTGTTTGTTTTTTGTTTGTTTGTTCATTTTCAAGGATTCAAGGATCATTTATTGTCATTATGCAACACAGGGATAAACAATGAAATTCAGTTGTCGCCCATTGTCAACACAACACATGGCACGCTATTAAGCTTCAATGTCAACACGTCAACAGCTGCCAGTAGGATGGCGTGGCGTTGTCTACAGTTACTAGCGCCACCATGAGGTGGAAATCTAAGCTTGTTTGTGAAAAGTCTCTACAATTTTGGTTTATGAGCAAATACCTACTACGGTGGCCAACGAGGGTCAACACGCTACTACAGTCCTAAACATCTTCTATCAGGAGAAACGTGCTGCAGCTTCAGAAAAATGAATTGCATAATGTGCTGAATCACTTTTGTGTCGTCTAGGTCAGGATGCTCTCATCCAACATTCGTAGTTTATTTTGAAAAGTCTGTATTCATGTGAGGAGAGGAGATTAGCATTGCTGCTGGGTTTCATAGGAAAACGCACAAAAAATGAAGAGTAACTTTCATAAGATCTCCTACGAACCGTAGTGTGAGGAAACCATAACTTATGACCCGTTTAAGTAACTTTGAATCATCAACCAGAAAACCATCAGAGAGAGAAGACGGGAAACGTGTTTTAAGAACAGGGCGTCCATTTGCACTTGGGCTTCTTTCATCACCTGCATGTCTCCGGTTGACACTTCCTCCTACAGCCGGAGCCATTACAGAGCTGAGAAGTCTGCTAATGGTGTGAAACATGACTACATGACTGAAATGGTACTTTCAGACCCACAGACATCACACAGCTCACTGTCCATTAACAGCAATGTGACCTACTGCCACTGAAACTGTGAAAGCAATTAAAGGTGTAATATTACGCTGATGTTGAAGGCTTTAAGGAGGGCGTTAATACGGACAACATGGTGGAATCACTATCAACCATTAGCACGGTTCTCTGGATGTACTGATAGTAGCAATTGTTTTGTGATGAACCGTATTGTACTGAAGCAAAGCTGACTCAAAGTCTCATGAAACACTCATGAAATGCATTCTGTTGGTAACGTGTTCAGGGACACAAGATGTCCGTCTTTTATGCAACTTCTTCTTCTACGTTACAAAACGAGCGTTTAGGTTTAGACAACAAAACCACTGAGTCATGATTGGGCTCAAAATAAGTACGTAGAGTGAGGTTTAGGTGGACTCTCCATTGGCATCATGTTTGTGCTGAGCGACACACAAAAACGAACAATTTGTGTCCCCGTAAATAAATCTAATAGATTACATTTGATGACTTTTTCACGAACTTCCATGAAACTGAGCCAGCTGACGACATCCTCTCAGGATAAAGCTGGCAATAAATTTAATATTCTAGTTTATTGTCAATGTTACGTGCCGTGTTGCCGTACTTGTTCACAGAAATACATAATATAATTTTGAATATGCAAAATAAATTTCACGTTATGCTACTTACGACAAAATGCAACTTTCTTGACGTGCAACATGATTTTCTAAACTTGCAAACATCACATGTGTAGTTCATGGCACAATTCAAACGGAATCAAAAGATTATTTGTCTCTTTCCATTGAATACCGTGCATGTTTTTTTCGGGGGGGGTGTTACTGAACTTCACGTCAATCAGCTGACCCCGACGGGACGAAGTGAAGGTCGCTTTGTACTCGTACATGTCAACATCTCCCGTCCTTCTATACAATCACATAAATGTCTTTTCCTCTTAGAAGCGATTAGTTGACGTCAGACAGCAATGTTTGATTGAAAACAATCGTTTTTAAAATTCTGAATCAATCACGTTAGAATAATACACATTGCAGTTGATGTGTTTGTATATATATACTGGACACCCAAACATACAGTTCAGTGGAGACATCAAGTGTCTCATTATGGTTTAAATGCTGTTTTTCACATTATGAACCATCAGCAGCTTAACTTCTACATTCAAAACCCAAACTGATCAAACGTCAAACAATCAGGCAGACAAACAGACTCGGCTTTGAAAAATAAACCAATATCTTTTATTTGGTGAGTGGTGTACATCACTATATGCGCTAAAGGCTGGTCTATGCTCAGTTATAATGTCTTTGCTCTACATACGGAATATAAAGTGATTAAATGCATCGCTGTCCATTTTCTTCTTGATCCCGCGTCTCCTTTTTTAACCATGAAATGACCACGTGTGGGTTCTCTGAAACAAGTCAGCACTTCCATCATGATTTGTAAACCGTTGGAAATATTCATTTGAATTTAACGTTCTAATGAAAATTGTCCCAATTTATTGTCCAACGTGTAATAGAACAATGAATCTATAGAAAGTTAGCATGCTAGTGAAACAAAAGCTGCAGCTATTGCTCTCTATAAAGTAAATGGGCCTCCTGGATCTGTATGAAGCAGTTATTCCACTGAAAGCCAACAGTGTCCATCAACAGTGAAATCACACCAGTGTTCCATTCACAAATGTTGGTCACAATAGATTCAGTGAAATAATGCAATAAAGTAAATGCTGTTCCATTGACGTTCAATGGGTCAAATGTTTGAATGGGAGTCAACGGGACAAATTTCACTCAGATTTAATAGGACAGTGTTCCTTTATGAGAGAAACGGTTTAAATGAAAGTTAATGGAACAACAGTGATCTTAGAGGAAAGTAAATGTGCTACTTCTGTTTTACTGTTTTACTGTTTTACTGCGGTTTTCAAACACTGGTTGATCAAACTGCACGTGGACCCAAAGAGTCTATATAGCATTGTGTGTATGTATACATATACATATATATATACAGTGTAAACATGTACTGTGTGGATGAAGAGATACATAACCACATGGGAGAACACATCATCATCATTGGCTGATTTGACTGTCGAACGTCCGTTCTGGATTAATACTGTTTCTTTTGGAATGGGCGGTTTCATGAGGATGACTTGAGGTATTCACTGGAACACGAGCCGCTCCTCAGAGTGGCTGCAGACAAACAGGAGAGAGAAGAAAACACGTTCATTATTTCCAACTCTTTATTCCCTTTATTTACTCCTTTGTAGAGCAACGGACATGTTCAACACGTAATCTACAGTCTACAACACGGAGGCTCTGTAGTCCGAACCAAGACGGCAAAACTTTATTACTCCTTTCAATCTTGACAAATGCAGCGCAGACCAGATGGACTTTCACAATAAAAGCCCTATATGCACTGTAACTGTTTACAGTAGCGTAGCAACAGACAAAGCAGACAGCCAGCAGCTAGCGACCTGAGAGGAAACACACCTGTCTCTCAAAGAGGCCACGCCCTCATTTATGCCTAACTTTAAGCCTTAATATAATTGAAACAGGTGAGTTAAATATAAATTCACCCGCTGTACAGTTGTCATGAACGGGGATATTAGTTATAACGTTGTAAACATGTTTATTTCTGCTGTAAAGTTGAGCATTTTACCATAGAGGTCAATGGGGATTGACTCTTTATTTGGAGCCAGCCTCGAGGCATGACCCGCCTCTTCCTCTGATTGGCTAGCACTCGTTGCCTGGTTAGCAGTAGGCCGGAGGAGTGTGATTGGTGCAGGTGAGAGTAAGAATGTCAGGCTAATCAGAGGCAGAGTAGGGCGGGTCATGGCGCTGCAGGTGTTATGTCGAACTGGTTTCCCTCTTGTTGAAATGATAATGTCCCCCATCGACGGTGGTTTGGGATAACGGTTGTTTCAGATTGAGGTGTGTGTGTGTGTGTGTGTGTGTGTTCCTACCAGGTGGAAGTTGTTTAGGAGGTCGTCTACGTTGATGTCATCGTAGCTCTCCTGGAAGGTGTTGGGTTCGTCCCTGGACTCCTCCGGGTCACTGGTTCCAGGATCTTCTAGGCTGTGTGTAGAAAGTCAAAACAGAATAAAACATTTCATTCATACAAAAAAACGTGAAATTCTACAAAACAATATAACATCTGACGGAGGAAAAAGGGAATTGCATGTTATTTCTTAACCACACATTAAAATGCACTTTCTGTAAATGTAGAGTTTAAACTTCTCTTCGACTTCACTTATCGTTTAATGCGATGAGATGAATTTCTGTTACAAATAAACGAGCCAACGTATTCAGTGAAGTTGTTTTAACTGCCAACCTTCACGCAGTTATTTGGTGTTGGTCCAATTTCTTCTATGTATGATTGTGTTGTTTCCATAGAACATGTTAGCTGCTAAATGTTTTATCAGACAATCAAACCCGGAGACAAACGATGAACAAACTGTTCTGGAGGCTGCAGGCTTAAATGTTGGAGAATCGGTCAGTCATTTTTACATTTTTACATTAAATCAACTTTATATCTGCTTCCCTCATTGTTGTCCATCCATCGATATTACTCTCTCAATACACTTGAAAGGAGAGGTGTGCCATGCAGTTGATCAACAACGCTTTGCTTTAGATCTACAATGTTTAACAGCTGTTTAAAATGTCCGTGTTGTCATTTAAAAGGCTCATTCCCCATGTGGTGCATCCTGGTGTTAGAAGAAATGATCAACCTTGTAGAATTCCATTCAAATTAAATGTAAATTTAAAGGAGCAGGTTTCACATTGTTCCTTTAAAAACCAGCAGGTGATGTCGCTCCATGTCTTTATTCAGGCTGATCTCACACTCTGTTATCAGCCGTACCTTCTAAAAACAATGCACCACAATACAAATATAACCCACGTAATCATGAGCCAGGACAGCTGACGGGGTAGAAAGAGTGAGTCAGTCTGCTTAGGTAGGAGGATAAAAACACTAGACTTTATAAAGTCCCGTGTGAAACGTAACGCATGAACATTGACGTATTTGTTATGTAACTTACGTCCTTAAGTAACGTAGTTCTGTAGTTATTTTTACCCAAACCACCATTTTCTCCTAATCCCATAAAACATCCTACCAGGAGACAATCTGCAGTCTCTCTAATGTCCACCAGGGGGCGACTCCTCTGGTTGTATAGAAGTCTATGAGAAAATGACTCTACTTCTCTCTTGATTTATTACCTCAGTAAACATTGTAAACATGAGTTTATGGTCTCAATCTCTAGTTTCAAGTCTTCTTCAATACAGCATGATGTTCATTTAGTACATTATGGTCCATTTAGAGTCACACAGACCATAAAGCAGGGGATGCTATAGGGCGGGGCTACACAGTGATTGACAGGTCTCAACCAGAGACGTATACGGCGTCTCTACGTCACTCCTCCTCAGTCCATATATGGTCACTTCCTGTTCACTGGTTGCAAAAAAGCCAAGACGGCGACGGCAAAACGCTGAACTCGAGAATTCAAATGTCCACAAACCGATGAGTGACGTCATGATGACTACGTCCACTTCTTATTTACAGTTAATAGTTCATATGTTGTACGAGGACACGTTTACATGTTTACATGTTTATATGTTTGTAACATTTCATAACAACAACTGAGCTCAAGAGATTCCTTTGAGACTCAAATAAGAAGGTGTTTTCAGTACCACATGAACTATTTTCCAGCGCTTCCTATGAGTCCTAATGAGGTTCATGTTCCAGTGAATGTAGGGAGGTCTGGTGCCTACCTTCTCTTTCCTGTTAAGACCGAGTTCAGGTACTTCTTAACGGCCATCTGTTTGCGGAAGCGGCTGTAGTTGTCTGTGAAGATGGCGTCTGAGTGACGCTTCACCGGCTCCTCCATCAGCTCGTCGCTGCAGAGAGAAGAGAATCGTGAGAGGAACGAAGAGGAGTGAGAGGCGTCGTCCTTCTCTTTGTGTCTGGATATAACATGTAGTGAAACAGCAGTGGCATACAGTAACCTTTACAATTGTTTGGTCAATTACAAAAGGCTTTTCATTGCAAATGTCAGAAAGTCGTCTGGTGTCAAACTGTCGATGCTGCTGAGAACACGTCACCTGGTTGATGATGCTTTTATTTTTTTATTTGCAAGAAAAGTTTCCTGTGACGTAAATGTTAGAAAATATGGTTTTCACACAAATTATCACATTTTCATCATTTTCTGGATGTTTTTATTTGTTTGTTAAGAACTTAATTAAATTCATGGTTTCAAGCACATTTCTGATTAAAATAATACAGTTTAACACGACACGTTTTATCCTTCATTACCAAACCACATATTTAAAACATGATTCGTGTTTTCTTTGAATTAATTTCTGTATGAAGATAAATAATCAGAAAAAAATGATATTTTCTCTTTCAACAGCATTTTAAGACTTTAGACTTCTACACTCATTTACATATTTTCGACATTGTTCAGTAAACTGTCCACTGGAAGCCCCCGTGGCTCCGGTCCTTATGAGGCATAAAGGTCTCATGGTTCCTTTGTTTTTTTTCATAATTGTGCATCAGGAGGCTGATTTTGGCTTCTTTATCCGCTTGTTTCACACTTTTCAAAAATATAATTCCTGTTTCATAAATCTGGAAGCTGGTTTGTATTTTTTCACACCGTCCGGTTCTGACAGCTCAGCACAGACCTGGCAATAACGGTCAGGTGAACAGGCTTTAGACTCTTATCAAATATAAACAATAAACAATTTCAAGGTGCCTCCGTAAAAATTAAAAAAGCCAGATTCAGCCTCGTCTCTCTGCCCGCCAGCTCGCCGTTCTGCCGGGCTCTCCGGACGGGGAGGTCACCTACCTGACCCGCTTCCCGATCAGAGACTCCAGGTACCTCCGCGCTGACAGCTGCCCGAGGAGTTTGCTGTATCCGCTGGTGAACAGACCGTCCGCGTGTCTCGTCGGCCTGCACAGCATCACGGACAGTAACATTAAAATCCACTCAAATGTTCAGACACTGAAGCGCAGCGGCTCCAATAATCAGAGACATAAAAGAATAACCGTGAGCAGGAGTCCGCAGGTCGATTCATATCTGTCTCTTACCTCATGGATGTGTATGGCAGACTCAGAGTCCGGGAGTACAACACGCTGCACAGGGCTATTAGGAACAGCAGCTGGGGGCCGGTCCGTTGTAACATCGCTTTACACCTGAGGATGGAAACGACAGTGAACACCGAGGACACCGGCTCGTTCCTCACCAGAAGCACCATGACGCCCAACAGTCACGTTGTTAACAGAAGAGCAGTTCAAAGCCACGGAGAGCCGTTTGGAACACTCACATAATGCTGAATTCTGTCCGAGGGGAGCAAAATAAATAGTGCGTAATTACGCACGGCTGGCGAGGACAAACCCGTTTCCCCGCGGAGACGCTGCGACTCTTTTGTCCCACAGAGACCACAAGCTGAAGGAAACGTGTCCGCTTCTACCAACACAAACGTGCTTTTCCTCAAATCACTTCACTGTCCAAAATATTTCCATTTCCCCAATAAAATAATCAGAGTAAATGTAAATTTGGAGTGTAATAATTTCACCTGTCAGTCTATAAGAGAGAATGTACTTTATTTAAAATGACTTCGTATTTATTGACTCGTTTTAACCAATACTTTGATCTCAAGAAACAAACTCATTCCGTCATCACTATGAATATGAACCCGACATCATAAAACTACAACACCAGTAATCAGTTGGATTATATCTTATTCTCTAACTCTCAGGTCGTCGGCAAAATCTCTGAGTTGATGGTGGATTTTTTGGCAGAATAAATAAAAATGAGTCTAATGCGTAAATACGCACAGCGCGGACACCGACGAGCACTAAACATCTGTTTACGCCGCTGCTCTGTTTCCATCTAAAAAACAAATGAAATGTGTCGAGCTTGCTGCTTCAATTGTAAACAAAGAGCAATTCATTGTTTTGTAAAATCGGTCATTTGGAAAGATTTCTCCAAAAACGTGGCCGGAGCGCGCAGAAACACGACCAGACATGTAGAGCGTCATCTAAAGAAAATCATGTGGATGTAAAGATAAAATCTTACATGTGCTCTGCAGAAAGTTGTCTGCTTGTTGTCCAAAGTCCTGGTCTCGAGCCGCTGCTGTATCTCCACTCGGTTTGGTGTTCCTGACTCTTCTTCTGTTCGCTCTCCGCTCCGCTCCTGTTTTATACACCTGGATGTTTCTCATGGAGCGCGAGGGGGACTTCAGATTCGATCAGGGGCCTGAGACGTCAGCAGGTCGCTGCTTCCGTCACCGGTCTTGCTCACCGTCGGAACCAAACAGGCCTCTGGTGAAATTAGTGGGACGTTTTTTCTTCTTCTTCTTCTCCTCATTTTTCTTCTAATGAATCGTAGGAATAACTAACTCATCATCCAGAGTTGACTGCGTTGACTCATCGGATCGTTTTCCCTGGGCTCCATCACGGTGCAGGTCAGCTGCTGCAGGAAGCCAAGAGTCCATCTGAAAGGGGCCCAGAACTATTGGTGCCAAACTGAGCGGATAAAGCAGATTCATTATTGTCATATTACATACAAGGATGATTGTGTTGTGGAGAAATCTATAGATCATTAAACCAGGTTCTCTCTTTGTCAACTTGTCCACTGTTTCCTTGGTGGAAAATTAATTAAAAGTATAAAATGTCGAAGTAATAGAAACATCTGCACCACTAAATATCTGTAAGGGACTGCCAAAAAACCCACCAGACTGATCTAATAATCACGATATGAAGAGCCGAGATCTGGAGATTATCTCCAGCTTCATGAATCAGAACACAGGTTATGAGAGGCCGACCTGAGCCTGTGGACCCCTCAGTGAATGACTCTGATTCTTTACATAAAAATATGTATTTGCCGAAATGAGACGTGTTTCCAAGCATCATTTTGAGCTCCAAACATTTCTCTTTTTTAAAATCTTGTGCATCGTCCTGTCATGACATGAATCCTTAATTCTACTGCAGCCGTTCTATTTCCTTACATCAAGAAAAGACGATTTCAGAGGATGTTACCGACACGGTTCTCTATTTCAGGCTGAGCTTTAACAAAAGAACAAAACTCAGGAATCAACCAACATCACTCTGATCAGCTGGAACGGATCAGTGGACTAGCTGTGACGTCGGGCCGCCACCTCATGCAACCATTCAACCATCCAACCATCCAACCATCCAACCATCATCCATCATCCATCAAACCATCCAACCACCCAACCATTCAACCATCCAACCATCCAACCACCCAACCATCCACCCATCCAACCATCCAACCATCCAACCATCATCCATCATCCATCCAACCATCCAACCATCCAACCAT